CGGCTCCGTCGGGTGCCCGGCGTGCGGGCCTCACCTCTGGGCCGCTGCCGGGTCCTGGCCTCTGGCCCGGAGGCGTTCAGAGCCCCGGGGGAGCAGCTTCCTCTCCGGCTTGCTCCCCCAGCCCAGTCCTTCTGGGAGGAGCTGGCAGGGGCCTCCGCTGCCTACGTACGACCTCTGTTCCTGGATAAACACCGCTCTGTCTGTGGCCATCAGCCTGCCCTTCTTAACTCCTTCCTCCAGCCGGGTTCTAGCAGCAAGCCAGCCCTGTGCCCTCGCCGCCTCTGCGGGGCCTGGGCTCCTTGGAAGTTGCCCGGGAGGGCTTCAGGGAAGAGGGGGGTGACCGTCAGCGTGCAGTGGCCTCCATCCCCCTGTGCTGCTCTGGTGAAGCCCGTAGCCATGGCCACGCAAATCACATCTGTAAAACTCTCCTTGCTGGAATCTTGCCTTGGCCCATATTGTCTCGTTCTGGAGCCATCCCAACAGCTCCCAGGCAGAGTGACTTGTAGTGACTAGTTTTCTGAATTATACTGGCCCAAGAAAAAGTAACCAGGCTCAAGATTTCTGGACATAGACATTGAGGACGGAGCTGGTTCCATCAGTAGCCTGGGTCAGGCTTGTCTGTGGCCCCCAATCCTTGGCAAAGGCTGTCAAACTGTAAACATGGAGGATGTCCCCTTCTTCCCTCCTATCCCCACGGGCAGATCCTAGGAAGCACAGGCCACTGCTGTCAAAAAACGAAACCATCAACTGCACACCAGGCATACTCTTCATCCATTAGTCTCTCAAAGGCATGGAGCTCATTTCCTCCTTAGGACCTTTGCATAGGCTCTCCCCTCTCCTAGGACCACTATTACCCCTTCATCTTTCAGATCTGGGGACCCTCTCTGACACCCTGCTGTCTAAATCAGGGGCTCTATTGTATAGTTTCATATCACCCCATATTTTCCTTTATGGTACTGATCATATTTTTTTCTGTGATTTATGTATGTGATTATTTAATATCTTATTAGAATGTAAGCATCACAAGGACACGCTTAGAATAAGGTATTCAGTCAGGATTTGTTGAATGAATTAATGATATTAAGCAGAACTGTACCTGAATCAGTTTGTTTCTTCATTCACTGTGCTAGATGCTGGGGACAGACAGAAAGGGGAGGAGTCTAAGGGGAGAGACAGACAATAAACGTGCAAACAACAGCGCAAAAAAAGATTGTGAAATGCAGGAAATAAACAAGATGATTAGTTTGGCATCTGATACTTGAGGGTTTAGAGGAAGCAAGCATTTCTTTTGTGGAGATTCATGGTGAACCCCCAGGCCCTCCATTCCTGCGGCTCCTGACTCAGCTCAGCCCTGGTGTCCGGGGAAGGTGGTCTGCACTGAGTGCTGCAGCCAAGAACTCATGATTTTGGTATCAGTCATACAGGCTGGGGATCTGGGCTATGTGACATGCTATCTGTGCTGTGTGACCTCCGGTAGGTAACTTCATCTCTCTGGGGTTCACCTTACCCATTTGGAAAATGGAGAGAATATACCTTACTCTCAGAGCTGGCATGAGGATTACATGAGATCACATGGGCATCAGTTAGGCTGACTTCTGCTGAAGTACAAGAAAACAGAAAACCCAACTCTATCTGACCTGACAATAAGGACACTTTTGGCTTCTATAATAGGAAGTCCAGAGGTAGGGTAGGAGTCAGGGGAGTCTGATTCTGTGGCTTCATTCATTCATTCATTCATCCATAGTTCTTTACTACCTCTGTGCCAGGCACTGTGCTGGACTCTGGGGACATAGCAGTGAGAAAACAGGTAAATCTCCTGGCCAGATGGAGTTTATACTTTAGTGGTCTGCCTTTGTCCCTGCCCCCTTCTCTTTCCCTAAACTCCTGTCTCCCTCAACCCCTTGCTATTCTCCAAGGTCACTGTGTTCTTTCACACTTTTGTGCCTTTGCTCTTACTATTTCCTCTGCCTATAGTATCATTGTCCCCTGCCTGCCTGGAGAACAGCTTTCTGCTTTCATAGAGTAAAATTGGCCCCTCTCCCTTGTGTCTGCACTGCACCCATGATAGGAGCCAGGGTGGCGGGTGGAGCTGGTGGGGCGCTTTGCGCATTCAGCTCCTGACCCTCAGTTGTGCATCGAAAGGCCAGGGGTCCTGTCTTTTCATTGCTGTGTGCTCAGTGCCTCACGTAAGGTCTGGTGCTTGGCAGGGACCTGGTGCTTGGCAGGGGCTGTTGGTGTTGACAGGGATGGTGGATATGTGGGAAGCCCTGGAAGGATTTCTATTTATTTATTTGTTTATTTCTTTATTGATTGATTTTTAGAGAGAGAGAGGAAGGGAGAGGGATAGAGAGATAGAAACACCGATGAGAGGGAAACATCATCAATCAGCTGCCTCCTGCATGCCCCCTACTGGGGATCAAGCCTGCAACTGGGCATGTGCCCTGACCGGGAATGGAACCATGACCTCCTGGTTCTGGAAGGATCTTGATTTCCAATGACAGAAGGGTCTTGGGTTGAGAATGGGTCTGTGAGACTTTATTTACTCAGAAGGAAGTGCCCTCTCCTTCACCTCATCAGTTGCTTCCCCCCAGCCCTCCCTGCCCTGCAGGGGGTCCCAGGCAGATAGGACAGTCAGAACGCAGCATGACTCTTACTCCTGTTCCAGCTGCAGTTGAAGGAAAACACCTGCAAGAGAAGGGCGAGCCGGGTGGCAGGAATGAGGGCAGGGATGGCAGGAGCTCTGAGCATTTGCATTCAGTTACCCAGGACCTGGATCCTGTCCTGTGGTACAGGTTGGGCAACTCACACATAGAAAAAAAACCCACCCTGGTTGGTCTTTCCCTCACTTCACCCATGTCTACAGCAGGTGCCCAATCCCAGGCTGAAAGAGCTGGACCTTGGCTTGGGACTGGATCCTTAGCATTCTTTCTGCCATTCATTCTGCCATTTGGGGCTGGTGGTGACAGGGCAGGGTCTGGGGTTGAAGGTGGTGACAGGGCAGGGTCTGGGGTTGAAGGGTCCCTTTACCTGAGGACTTGGCGTAGACTGTCTTCTGGTCTCTGCTCTGGGCGATGCAGGACATGTAAAGCTTCTGGTCCTCAATCTTGTCCACGTCAACGTTTAGTACAGCCAGAGATCCCACAGGGATCAAGCTGGAGAGGAGGTGGTTTAGCCCATCCCTTGTGCAAACCCCAGGCCCTCACCCCTTCACCCCTCCATTCCCCAGTCCTCTTCGTCCCACCCTGCCTTGAGGACCTAAGTGGCTCTGGGCTCTGATCCTGCCTGCCAGCTCCCAGAGTGGATGGCAGAGGTGGTTTTCTGGCAGTGGGTTGAGGAAATAAAGTGACAGGCAGGGCTCCTGCACCCCAACTGCTGAGGATGGCCACCCCCTCCGTGACAAAAAGGGCCATGACTTTAGCCAACACCATAAGGATCACTACTCACTTTTTGAACCTGATGCTGAGGCTTAGTGTGAACAGCCCCTCTCCAGCCAGGTAGGCAGTTTTAGAGAAGGTCTCGTCCATCATGGCTACCAGGGACCCTCCGTGGGCAAACCTGGGGTGGGGGCAGGAAGCAAGGCTGGGGCTGTGGGCTGGGCAGACTGGCTCCCTAGGCCTTCCCCTCACCCTGAGGTGGAACCACCGCCTCTACCTTTCCCAGGAAAGGTGCATGCACCAGTGTGTTAACCAGTGTCTCCATGGAAGATGCCTTTGGGATGGCCAAGGTGACCAAGGGCTACAGTCTGAAGCCACCACCTATGGAGATGCTGGCATCTAAACTCTCTGAATTCCTTTTAGCTACAGTCGAGTCCTTCTCAGGCCTGGGGACCCTAACGCTGCTCCTTATCTCCCCCCCTTTCTTTCCTTTGCAGGGACTCCAGCACCACCAACAGCCTTCAGAGACTGTCCAAAGCAGGAGCAGGGATGGAGGAGTAGGCAGGCAACTATGGACTCGGTGGTTCAGCGGCCTTAGGCAAGAGGCTCAGGGCCAGCCTGGTTTCCCTTGTGGATGTATTTGTGTCCAGAGCGAGTTCTTTCCTGGCTCTTTTCCAGGTTTGGAGGTAGCAGAGTATAGTAGAGAGAGCAATGGACTTGGAGCCCCAGTTCCTGGACTAGAGTCCTGCGTCTGACCTTGACTGCCTGTGCTACCTTGGGCAAGTTACCTTACCTCTGTGTGCCTCAGTTTGTCTGTGGGTAAAACATGAAGTGTGGATAGATGATGTGTGATAGCTATATTGTGCTCTATGGTTCATGAGCACATACACAGAGGCCCATAATATTATACCTCTCAGCCACTCTGGCAGGTAGATATTATTGCCCCAGGTTTTAGGTAAGGAGACTGAAAGCCAGAGGTTAAATTGCTTGCTTGGGGTCCCACGGCCAGCAGTGGCAGAGCAGGTCTGGGAGTCGGGCTCCTAATTCCAGATCTTGTCTCCTTCCAAGTTCACCACATCCCTTTCAAAGTGACCTGTAAAACCCCTCCTTCACAACAGAACTGGACCAGATGACCTGGATGTCCTTCCAGTCCGGTGCATCCCCCACACAACTCTTTAGGGAGAGGTACAGTCCCCAATCCACCTTCTGAGCCAAGGCTGGGAAACAGCCAAAGATGTCCAACTTGGCCCTGCCTATAGTCTTACCCTGGGGCCCCCTCCAAGTAGGGGCCTGGTTGGAAAAGACAGACAGACTTCTTCTTGGATGGGTGAAAAAAGATGACATACTCATATCCTTGTCCTTCCTCTTGGATGCACCTGGTGAAGATGCGCCAGTCACTTTTGTCTGGGGAGAGATGAGCAGTGTCTCAGTTGGAGAAGGGAATGAATGAGGACATGGGGCCTGCCCAGGATGCAGTGGTGGTCATTCAGCACCATGGGCTGAGCCCTGAGTTAGGCACAAGGTCAAGGAGGGAACCAGAAGACACCCAGGCCCCACCCTCAGGGGGCCTTCAATCAGAGACCAGGGGCACAGCCCTGTCCCCAGGGAGCCCTGAGTCTGGAGGGAGGAGCGCTCAGGAAGTTCCCTGGCTGAGGGTAGGGATAGGATCAGTGTCAGGTCAAGACTTTAAGAGACTTTAAACATTAAACATTTAAAAATGCAACTCATGCCCAGCTGGGAATGGCTCAGCAGTTGAGCATCGACCTATGATCCAGGAGATCGAGGTTCGATTCCCGGTCAGGGCACATGCCCGGATTGTGGGCTTGGTCCCCAGTTGGGGGCATGTGGGAGGAAGCCGATCAATGACGACTCTCTCATCATTGATGTTTCTCTCCCTCTCTCTGAAATCAATAAAGATATATTTTTTAAAAATGTAACTCATGTAATTCACATATAGTAATTCAAAATAACAATACTGAACAGCAAAATAAGTGTAGAAAAGGCCACCAACATTCTGATCCCCCTTCCCCCCACCGCCCAAGACAACTACAGCTATATCCTTTTTGAATGGATACCAAATTCTTTTAAAATTATTTTAGTGTCCCTGCTTTGTTTGTGCCATAAACCCAAGGGTAGTCTGTGTACTGTCCCACCCATTCATTGCTGGTCAGGAAAATCATATATGTGAATGGGCAAGACAAGAAAACACAGACACACAGACACACAGACACACAGACACACACACACACACACACACACACACACACACACACACACACACACGAGAAAGATGGAGGTAAAAAGCTGTATCAGGCTGACCATTGGGTGTTTCAGGAGAGCCAGCCTGGGCCTAGCAGAGCTGGGCCAGGCCTGCAGGGGGGGAGGGGCCCCAGAAGCCTTCTGGTTGGTGGGGGAGGGTTTGGGATGAGCCCCGGCAGAGGGCCGAGCTGGCAGTTCTCCGGTGAAGCCGCTAGGGTGCGCTCTCTTTTCAGGTGGGACTAGAGGATACTGTCAGGCCCCTGCCCGGGGCGGCAGCAAGAGGGGTGGAGTTAGGCAATAGAAAGCTTCTGGCAGAGAACTGGGGTGGGAGCTTGTGAGTGTCCTTCCCCAGCGTCTTTGAACACAGGGAAAGGGGCTGGCTGAACCGACTTGGGTGGGCTGGGACAGCTGTGCTGATGTGACGGCTGAGACCAGGCTGCCTTACCCGAGGTAGCTGCTAATCCGAATGGGAGCTTGAGCCCCTGGATGTGCTCTCTGTTGGACTTGAAGGAAGGCAGTTTGATCCAGCCATCGGCCTTGGTCTTCTCCAGAAATTCCTGGTACAGGCTCAGCATGTCCGGACACCAGCTGGCATTGGGAAGGGCATAATCCTTTAAATCTGTCTTCTCTGGGCAGAATCTTGAGACCTGGGTAAGAAAAATCGGAGACAAGACAGCTTCCTGGGGGCGGGGTGGGAATGGCTGCTTGGATCTCAGGACTTCTAGGCAGTGTGCTCCTGCATTCCATTCTTGGGATTCTTAATCCCTTCCACTAGTGTTGACCTGAGGGACATGCCCTTCTTTCTTGCAGTGGGTTTGGGGATAGCTGTGGCTCTTCTGAAACATGTTTTGGGTGCTCAGAGAGGTGTAGTACAACCTGTGGGACGAGGAGTCCCCTGTGGCATCAAATGCTCATGCACCAATCGCAACTGTGGGCAGTAAGCCTGGGGCTCGCCAAGACCACACACAGAGTTTTCCATCTGGGATGCCCCAACTCAGCTGCAGCGGCCTGAGTCCCATAGAAGGAAAGCGATTACACTGGTGGTCACACAAAATTCAGACCAGAACGAATGTGTCCTGATCATCTTAGTTTTGGACCTAGGCTACTTGGTATCCCAAGAGCACCTTACCTTTGCCAAATCAAATAGTTCCCCAACACACCGCCTACCTGCCCCGGCCACAATCTGGGAAAAGGAGATTTGGGGTGCTCCTTTTCTCCCTAGGCCCCCGGGAGAAAAGCTGTCCATCTGGCTGAGCTGGGAACTCACCAGGGAGTCTGTGGAGGATCCAAATGCCGAGGTGGGGTTGAGTCTGGGCAGAATGTGGGGGCCACCAAGAAGGGCTCTGTGGCGGCTGAGTCTTGCTGCCTCTTGGAAGCCTCTTCGTATCATGGCTGAGCACTTGGATGGGGGCAGAAGAGCTGCGGGCTGACTCTTGAGGAAGCAGCAAGGTGAGAGGACTTTTCAGCTGTACCCTGGGTGTGTCGGTGCAGCCAGCCCTCAGGCGTTTCTCCTTTCTGTCACAACGATTTCATCAGCAAGCTTCCACTGCAGATGATTGGACAAGACCAGGCTGGTTGGAGACAACACCCATATGTGTTTGGGGCCTTAGCTGGCCCCAAGCCCTACCCAGTGCTTGGGGAGGGGCAGATGCTGCTTCAACATGAATGCATAGCAGGTCTGGCTTGAGTTCAGAAAAAAGTATATATATATATATTTATATTTTTTAATTTATCTTTATTGCTGAGAGTATTACAGGTGTCTCATTTTCCCCCCCAATTGATCTCTTCCACCTCGCTCCCACTCCCTCCCCAGGCCTTCACTCCCCATGGGTTATGCATATATGCATATAACTTCTTTGGTTAATCTCTTCCCACCCTCCACCCCTCTTCCCTCTTTCCTTTGACATATGATTGTCTCTTGCATGCGTCAATGTCTCTGGATCTGTTTAGTTCGCCAGATTCTTTTGTTCATTAGCTTCTTCTTAAAGAAGACTCTTCAACTTTTCCTGTATTGCTGGTCTGGTGGTGATGAACTACTTTAGCTTTTTCTTATCTGTGAAGCTGTTTGTCTTACCTTCAATTCTAAATGATAGCTTTGCTGGGTAGAGCAATCTTGTCTGTAGTTCCATGTTTTTCATCACTTTGAATATTTCTTGCCACTCCCTTCTGGCCTGCAAGGTTTCTGTTGAGAAATCAGCTGACAGTCATATGGTGCTCCCTTGTAGGTAACTAACTGCTTTTCTCTTGCTGCTTTTAAGATTCTCTCTTTGTCTTTAACCTTTGGCATTTTAATTATGATGTGTCTTGCTGTGGGCCTCTTTGGGTTCCTCTTGTTTGGAACCCTCTGTGCTTCCTGGACTTGTAAGTCTATTTCTTTCCCCAGGTAGGGGAAGTTTTCTGTAATTATTTTTTCAAATAGGTTTTCAATTTCTTGCTCTCTTTCTTCCCCTTCTGTTGAGCCTCTTGAAGTTATGCCAGAGGCTCCTTATACTATCTTCATATTTCTGGATTCTTTTTTCTTTTTGCTCTTCTGGTTGCGTGTTTTTTGTTTCCTCATGTTCCAATAAATTGCTGATTTGATTCTCAGTGTCCTCTACTGTACTGTTGATTTCCTGTAAGTTATTCTTCCTTTCAGTTCATGTAGCCTTCATTTCAAATGGTACTTTATTATGTTACTGATTTTCTCAGTTATTTCCCTCATAGTCAGCTTAAACATTCTTATAAACAAAATTCTGAACTCTGTATCTGTTAGCTTGCTTGGATCTATTTCATTTAGTTCCCCTTCTAGAGATTTCTTCTCTTCTTTCCTTTGTGACATGTTCCTTTGCCTCCATATTTTAGCTGCTTCCAGGTGTTTGTGTCTATGTATTAGGTAGAGTTGCTATGTCTCCTGGAATTTGTAGAGTGGCTTTGTGTAGTATGTGTCCTGTAGGGTCCAGTGGCTCAGCCTCCCCAGTCACCTGAGCTGGGCCTTCTAGGTGCTCCCCTGTGTGGACTGTGTGCATGTCCTGTTGTAGTTGAGCCTTGGTTGCTGTTGGCATCACTGGGAGGAATTGACCCTCTGGCCAATCAGCTGTGAGGACCAGCTGCAACTACAGCCAGAGAGCTGCTGTGCTTGAGACACCCCTATGGAGCCCCCTATACTTCAGTGGGGCTTTGGTGTTCACCAAGTGCACCCCTTGAGTGTGTCACTCGTGGATGTGGTAGGGTTTCAATCCAGCGTGGTCGAGTCTGATCACCAAGTGCACTGTCTCTGGGGCCTCCGGGGAGGCGCAGAGTCAGCCTCTGCCAGTGCCTTGCCCAGGGCCACCCAGCATGAGCTACACAGCAAACC